TTCATATATTTACATTTGGAGCCTAATTTGTGTTTCATCCCTGATTTAAGGTAATTGGAATATGAATAATCTCAACTCATTTTCATTAGTCCATCACACAATCCTTCTGTTTAAAGGCACAAACACTGGGTTGAGAGGGAACAAAAGACGCTGTAAGACACCTACTAAAGGCTCTGTCAGCTAAAACACCTTATCTGTTTTGGATTCCTGTGGCCTCTTTAACGCGGTATTTTGGGGAATTCAAGTATCCATTCCTCACAGTTGCAGCAGAAATCTGAAACTGCAAAGCTGTACCAGAAAAACCTGTGTTTGAGTGTGTGTGTGTGTGTGTGTGTCAGACAAAGTGACAACGTGACAACCTGCAGGTCAGCATGTTGCAAGATTTCTAACCTTTTTGCTGGAGGGGACTGTCGGAGTGAATATTGAGCTGCTGAGTGACAGACAGCAAAGCAGCTCTATAACTGAAGCAGCAGCAGCAACAACAGAAACCCGAAGAATACCTGCAATTTAACCCTGTTTACCTCCCAGACTAATAACCGACTGAAATATATAAAGCTGCTGAGTGAACATCTAAACATAAGGCTGATAACACACATGCTCTCATAGTTCAGGTAATGGCAAAACACGTTTGTTAGAGATTTAAAGTTACTGCTACTCTCGCTTGTTGTGTCACAGGCTCATTGCCGCTCTCAAGTGGAGACTGTGGCTTCGCCTACCGGGGCAAATAATAATTTTCTCTCGCAACACATTACACAGGCTGAAACAACAGTGGTGTGTTTCAAGCCACAATAACAAATGACTGTCTGCACCTCAAAGTTCAAGGCACAACTTCACATCAGCAGGATGTTAGCACGCTGAGCCTAAGCCAGTTTGGCTGCAAGGTTCGAATTGCCTTGGCCTTTGTTGAACACACTCTTCTCTCTGGTCAGGTTGACATTGGCAGCCCTATCCAAACAGACACGCTATCAGAGGATAAACAGCATAGTGAGCTCATTGCATTTGCATTTTAGAATACTTACATGTCAACACAGCAGCGCTAGTTTGCATCTTGTTTGCCTGAATACAAACTCTAGACCTTCTATCAGCACAGAGCCATGTCCATAGCTGTAAAATGCCTGGCACTCTTTTACACGGACCTCTACTGAAGGTCATAAAGATAGACTGCTCAGGGGCAACTGCGCAGGGAAGTGCTGCTGTTATCAATGCAACTGAAGTTCCTGCTCCCCCACAGTCTCATTTAAAGGGAAGTCGCAATCCGTAACCAAAATCTCAAAATTCTTTGTACTTTGGTTTGAAAAAAGAACAAAAAAACAAATCTCTGTGGAATGTGATTACAAAGCCATATACTATCTTATCATACGCAGAAACACCAAGATAAATGTGTCAACTGCTTTAATTTAGAAACATTTTTTCATCTTCTGTTTCTACAGACACCATGAAAAGAGAGGTAAAGGCTGGAGCGGACTTCCTCAAACGCCTGGCTGTGGCACGTGGCAAGCTTGATGAAGCCAAAGCAGAATTGTTCTCTGAGAAGCTACAGAAGCTTTTATGTGACAAATATGACGACCACTGGTACCCAGACTGCCCCAGTAAAGGCCAGGCATACAGGTAATGATCGGTGTGAAAACTGTACACAGCGGTCTCCCTTCAAAGATCATAGACTTCCCTAGTTTTGAGATCTACATAATCTTTAACGCTTAATCCACAGATGTATCCGGATAAATAACGGAGAACTCTGTGAAGTGGTCCTAAAGGCTTGTGAGGAGAGCGAGCTCACACCCAGTGAGATAGGCCTTCCGTCTGAGATCACACTGTGGATTGACCCACTGGAGGTGTGTGCAAGGTGAGTCACCGGCTGGCCTGCTGAGGCAGAGGCAAAGAATGACACTGACAGACGAGCTTTATCAACAAAGACGCATTTCTCAGTCTAGCCAGGAATAATGAGTGAGTTTAAGTCATGATGCATCAGTGAAACGATGAAAAACATGGGTGACCGTTGAAGTTACAACAATCCACTCCCTCTTCACAGAGCTGGAGAGAACAGCAGGCCCTTCACAATAGCCTGTTTTGAAGAGGAAGACGAGGAGGGAGAGAAGGGAGAACAGGATGACTCCTCGGTGGAATTGGTAAACCTGGACACATCAGATTACCACTCTGCTACCTCTTCGGATTGCGGTTCCACTGCTTCGAGTGACACAGAGGAGGAGGCAAAAGATGGCGAGAAGGAGGTCGTCAAGAAGGAAGAGGCAGAAGGCGACACCTACACCATAGCAATGGTGCCCAGGATTCGGAAGCGGAACAGAGAAGGACCAAATAAGGTCAAATACGTCAGAAATATGGTAATTATCTTTGTTTTAGGACCACTGATTACCATTACACAGGGACTGTAGTGTGAGTCACTCCCACATTCACTTCCTAAAGCATCAGAAGGGTATTAATCCGCAGCTTAAAATAGTCCTCAGCAAATGCACCAATTACTCATTTTTGCTAAAAAAAAAATACAGTTTCAAGTTGTTTTAGGAAATTACTGAGCCTTTTCAAAACAAAGGCACCTAATGTTCATGACCAGCTTTTAGACATGTGAGAAACCGAGTAAGAGATTGTTGGTTTTGGATTTTTTATGGGATTTGTTGACAATGTAATGATGGGGTTTCAGTATTACATGTTCTAGAAAGGAAAGTACTGTTGATTCCTCCCATATGGACAAAATGTGTTTAACACTCATGCTGGAAACTCTTCACCTTTCCCTTCTTTCTCTCTGTTCAGATCCCCACTAGCCTCCAGTACTTCTACCACCCTGCACCAGTTTGGCATCAGTACAAGAAGGGTGCTCCAGTGTTTCTGAACACAGTATGCGTGCCTCCCGCTCCGCCGCCTCCGCCCCAGCAGGTTTTTGGCTATTATATCTTACCGCAGCCATCTCCGCAGTTCATTGTGCCTCAGGCCACTCTGCAGCCGTGGGGAGCTGTGAAGGGCTAGACCGTCCAGGATGTTTTGAGTAAAGGTGGATGGAGTGTTCCAAGCTCCTTTTAACTGAGCCATGTCGGTCAGGTTTCTGAGTTCAGCTAAACTTGGGCCAAAAAAGAACATTTTAACTGTAACTGAAAGTTATTTCTTGTAAAACCTCTAATAATTCCTCTTTCCTTTTCTTTTCCGATGGCTTGTAATAGATGGCTTGTACACTGGACTTCAGTGAAAACAGTCTTCTTTTTAATTATCTGTCAGGTCTGCACTGCTATTTTTTTCACGTACTGTACACGTGAAGAATGACGCCAGTCACTGGGTGCTAGTAGTAACTCAGGAACTCACCGCAATATCCTTAATGCCAAATACTTCAGGTGTTATATTTGTTATTATGTCAGTTCTCTCACCAAATATGGTCCACAGTGTATATGCCACAGTTAATAAATGTAAAATGTGATTCAGGGTTTTAATCTATTGTAGCTAGAGTGACAATATCTGTATATTAAGAATATTTTTACTAAACTGCTTGTAAATAATACAGAACTTGGATACAATAGACATGCGCACACTTTCTAACCTCACTATCTTATTGTAATTTATTTGGCCACCACTGGATGGCACTCAACTCACAGCTAATACATGAAATTGTATATTTTTTTATTAACAGTGGCTGTTGTATATTTGAAATGTAGCCACACAGAACACAAACGTGGTTTTTAATGGCTTAAACTATCTCTGACGTCAGTAAAATGTATAATGTTCCTTATTCTGTCTGCTTAAAGCTGTAGGTTTTTACAGTGTTCATTGTAAATAACTTTCCTTGCTATAAAAATCTGCTAGCGCTATATCCTGAATACACTCACTCACTGTTCTTTATGTAGGCTACTGTGACTATTTGATCATCTTGATGCATATTTATTTAATGTCCACGCAACTTTGAAGCTCATCTGTGTGCTTGAGACATTAATTTGCTTTCACCTTTTACATCAACTGTTTACCTTCTTATTGCAGCTGATTAAATAAACTCACATCTGATATTATAAACAGTTATTTTGCTCATTCCTATAATCAACACTTGTGATTGCAGAGGTCGGTGCTGTGTAGACATGTTGTCTGTGTGTTCTGTCATAAAAATATTTTGACTTGACCTAGAAAAGCACCTGTCAGTCTGAACATTACTTAAAGTTGTTCTGTCACTCGGAGCTGTGCCGATCATTGCAGGTCATTACCTTCAGCAGGAGCAGCAGGATGCTGCAGCGGAAGGGCTCCTGTGCGCTGGGTGCGTCATTTAGCCCAAGGTCATGACGCTGTTCCTCATTAAACAAGCCTAGTAAAGAGGCGAAGGGAGAGTGTGTGTTTTTTTGCGTTTGGCCTATAGAGCATTTGCAGGAAAGGACATTCTGGCAACTGAACTGATTGAAATACATAGGGAAGGCAGCTGGATAAGGCCGCCCTTAATCCAAGAGAGGCGCAAAAGTTAAGCAGCTAGGGCGTGGATGGAAAGTATGCCAATGAACAATAAGGGCATATTTACAATTAATAATTTAATTCATTGTTTTTATAAAAAAAAAAAAAAAAACACACACCATAGAGAAAAATACCAGAAAAACAACCGAAGACTGAAGGCCAGGACAGATATGGGTCGTTGCCAATGTTAGCAAGCCTTGACTAATGTTTGGAATAGACTCCGAGGTTGAAGACACTCAGCCACAAGATGTCACTCTGTAGCTGCTGTAAGCAACAAATAAATAAAAACATGAGCTGAAGTGAGATTCCTATTTTTATAGATTGCCTTACTTTTGTTCATAAAATAAAATAAAATAAAAGGCAACCAAGTGGCTTGTTCCTTGATAATTAAACAATAAAATATAAAACAGTGGATAAATTTAAATAATAAATAACAAAACCCAAAAAAAAAAAAGTCTTTTCACGTTCCGTGAGAGCGCGCGCGCGCGCGCGCACACACACACACACACACACACATCAATAATTTATTTGTGGCTGACTGACGCACACTCTTAAAATAATGACCCATGCAAATAGGGAGTACATAGCCATAACGCTGTGGGCAAACGGTATCAGTGCGCGTAACCAAGCCGCGCCGGTTGGTAGGAGTGTGGTGAGGGTGTGCTGGAGGCAAAGCGTTTTGTTCATCCCGCTACTTCGATGAGCGACAAACGAGAGAAGGGCCTGGTAGACAGTGCGCCCATCGGAATATGCCTTCCCCAGCTCGGGAGGAAAGCAAAGGGGAGAGCGGACAGGCAGAGGACGGAGCAGCGGACAGCGACGACAGGGAGAGAGGGACAGCCGCTCGTCTCGTGTGCGCTCTGGAGATGGAGATGACAAACTGCAGCCTGCGCGGCAACTCCAAAGTGGACTGTGTGACTTGTGATGGTCTGATCAATCGAAACGGCGGGGACTCGGCAGAAGTGTCGGTGCCGCTGTCACTTCCCGGGAAGCGGACAGCTCCTATGGAGGGGGACAACCTCTACAGACTGCGAGACAGAAAGTTTTTATTGGAGGATAAAAAGCGCCTCTGCGCGCTGGCTTTGGGCACCGCTGTGCTCGGGATACTGCTCATGATAATCCACGCCGAGTTATGTCCCTTCATCTATAAACCGGTAGGTTGAAGAAATTAAACACTTATAGGCCTGGGAAAAGTTTATTAGGCTGACTTCAGTGTGTAGGAACTTACCGTATAACCAAATCAAATACTTCGATTGGAATAGTTTGAAATGTGATACTTTGGTTTTGTTGACACTTGGCCTTAAAGCTGTAGCCTTACAGCACGCTCATAATGCTGCCCTCTGCTACTAAACTGCAATCTCACAAATCAAACCAAAGCTTGAGCTAATGAAATGTTGCACTTTTGCACACATTGCAGAGGGTTTTAACTTAGAACATTAACACAGCAGTGCATGCTTTGTAAAGCAGCCAAATGTTTGACATCAACACTACCTAAATTCACTTTGTGTTTTTAGGCTGGTTCAGACAGGCCCTTGACCTCATCATCAAATTATAAAAATAATCAGAGAAACCATCATAGTCTTGTTTCCTGCATCATGCAGTGGAAATGTTAATTATCTGCTGCTGTGCTCCTCTTTAACTACTTAAGGAGAAGTTACAGGAGCTCAAAATAGCTCTTCACTCAGACTATAATACAGACCAATTAATGGTATTATATTAAACTATGTTATATTTTATTACAACATATTTCAGTAGTAACATTTATCATAACTGGTGCAGAAAAAAACACCGTTACACAACTGGCTCCATTTGTTGTCATAACAACTTCCTTGACAGTCCAAGACCCATGTAGCACAACAGCAGAACCTGCACCTGGGCTTTGAACCTTCCTGACCTCCTGATTAGTTATTCCATTTCCAGACACACTATTTGGTAGCAGAGCCTCATGACATTAACATGCAGATCTCAGTGGATAACAATGCCAGGCCACACAATCAACAAATTATTAACTCCCCCTGACTTCCTACAGCACACGCCAGTTCCACATGTGGAAAAAAGCTCTCATGCATGCCGCAAAACAGCAGACCACCTCTATGCTGTGAAGTCAGTGATTGATTACAGTGTCAAAGAGCCCCGCATGTCTAACTCACATCAGCTACAATCTTTTTAGAAACCTATGGAAATATGGCCTGACCTGCAAAAAAAATAAAAATAAATAAAGACCTGGTGCATTCAGAGAATTGGACCTGCAGAAACATGGTTGTGAAATTTACGGTGCTTGCTGGCACGGATATGACATTACTATTCCAGTTTACAAATACGAACCAAGAACAGGTGTTGTCTGTCCATTCCTAATAACCATGGAAATGCTGATGCACTGGAAAAGTGTTCTCTGCAGCAGTTAAAGCATATTAATTTGGAGAGGCTGCATTGTTGATTTAACCATTCAGTGTATAAAACCATTTCCGGCATTCATCTTTAAACTTCATGTGATGTCCAAGTCATGAGTGTGAGCTGTGACATCTTACTCCCCTTGTGGACTGACTTTTGGTCACACAGGACTGTCTTAACAAAAGTGTCCGGTAGAGCTCTACAGTATTATTGGTTTCCATTTTTTTTAAGTTTACTGCAGGATATTTTGGAAAACTTAACTTGCATGCCTATCAAAGTTAACTCCAGTCTACAAATTTATATTTTAAGATTACCTTTTCATGGTTATGCACGAAAAACAGGGCTATTTATGGAACGTTTTTCCACATTTCACCTCTTCCCCTACAGCGAGATTGCTCACAGTACTTCAGGCTATCTTTCCACATCATTTAGTGTATAATTAGAGTGTTTGCATGGCCAGTCTAAAAGTCTCTATGTATTGAGTTCGGCTGTGTTAAAGCCAGGAGCGTGCACTCTGACCTGGATGCAACCCTGTGTCCTCTTTTCTGCAGCTCTTTGACGACTTTCCGGGAATGACTTCACAATCTAAAACAATATCCACATATTGAAACTGAAAAGGCTAGCATGATTAAGAGAATAGAGTAAAAGAGAAACACACAGGTGAAATGTGAGGTTTCCTTTACTGGGAAAATCTGAACACTTTTAACACCTCCACCCTTTAGAACATTCATCATTCAGAATCATTCAGCTGGAGATAAGTTAGTTAGCATAAAAGGGGACATTGTTGTCTCAAGGAGGAAAACAGCCCAGTTTTGGGACATCCCTCCATTAAACATATGATACAGCAACTCTTTCAATCAGTAAAGGAGCATCTTATTCTTATTCATTTGCATAACTAGATCTGCCATCATACATAATCACTGCATGCTTGCCATGGCTGTTGTTTTCTGTCTGTATTTATCAGACTGTGTCCATTGTCCTTTTTGTCCTGCTATCTTAAAGGTTCGTGAGAATATATGTTATATGTTGTCATGTTTTAATTGTCTGTGCTGACTGGCAGCTTAACATGTTTTTGTTTTGTATTTATGTATTAATTGTTCATTTCTGACTTGGTACACCACCTTTTCTTTTTTACCTTATTTGCTTTGTTGTTTTAAAGTAACGGGCCAGGTCCAAGAGCGAATGAAAGTGCAGAAGTATAATGGATGATAATTTTGTTGCGTGTACTTGGAGGTTTAGTGCTAAATGCCCACCTATGTATAAAATGTAAAAGTGATGTGCTTGGACTTAAGTCACTGCAGTTATCTAAAAAATATTAATCAGCAAACCAAAAAATATATTAATATATATATTACTTTTCCTTATTATTTAAAAATATATATATTTCTTTCCAACATTTTGTCATAGCAAACACCAACCCATTCACCTCCCCTTAAAATTTAAATGCAGGTGCCACTATATTTCATGAACTGAGACCGCATGCTGCAATGTGGTTGCAGCTCACCTCCACACTGAAAACTGGCTTACGTATAAAGCCTACCTACAGCTTATATGCAAATAGACAAAACTCACCCACAAACCAGGATGTCGGCTATACCTGCTCTTGTTCACAACATGTCACTACTCACCCCAAAACCAGCATTCTGTGTGTTACCCACATTTAGCCTGAAAGCATCAATGTGAGACACGCAGAATCGGCTATACACTTCCACACTGCATATGAGCCAACTATGGCCCAAAACAAGCCAAACCCGTGGAAAATCTGTGGCCATCTGCTGGAACTAAGTCTAAGATATAGGTGAACGTTATCTGGGTTGTTTCGCTGATCAACACATGCACAAAACGAGAGCAGTAATTATTGGATGGTGCTGCTGTGGTCATTTGTGATAATGAAAACATGTTGACTATTGAGTCATGAACCATTATCCTCATCCAAAAGATAACTATAATATTACTGTAGGGCAGTGTCTGGTCTCTATCTGGTAAGAAAGAAAACCAGCAGTGCTAAGGCTCACGGACCGGGATGGAAAACTGCAGGGAAGTGACACTTGCTACTCACTTGTGGTCTTTCATGGCAAGTATCCTGCAAGTTTTTTTAATCTCTGACAGCTAATCAGCCACACTTGTCCTGTACAGTGTTAATTGGAACCCTCAGTGCCATGATTTCACTCATCAGCATACTTCTGCCCAAGAAATCACCAGTGTTGTCTGGTGCAGTGTTTGACTGGCATGAAGGGTCACTCTTTGTTTTACCTGCTGTGATGTCTCCTTCCATGTGACTGTCCCACTACATCCCTATAATGTTCTTGCAGGATAATATTTGTAAGCCTATCCTTAAGTGTATTACAGGATACCCCTAGTTCCATGAGTGACCTATAGCATGAGAATCTCCATGAAAGCTAATAAAACCACACTGAATAACAAACTAAATTAGAAAACTAAAGTCAGATGCATGTATTATTTCTTTTGAGGTATTTATTCATTACAGTACACATAAACCGGACCACCTTCTTTTGCATTGGATTCAGTGTTTCATTTTTTTTGCTATGCTGTGGCAGGCCTGTCCCGGTGACGGGGGCTTGTTGTATTTCCAAGACGACAATGAGAAACAAGGTTAAGGTTAACCCAAATTAGTATCACCGGGCCTGAAATGAGTGTTTCCAACAGGAAAACTTTACAAAAACAATTTTTAAAACTCGGCAAGAAACATGTTGTTGAACTCTCCGTTATGGAATGTGGTGAAATGTTGAGCTTTTGTGGGGTCTTCTAATTAGCCCTGGATGAAATACAGACATGATGTGGAGGCTACTGTGGAAACTGGCGTACCCTGCCAACGGACGTCACATTGTACCACCTACACGCTAAAGTTTCCTCAAGTTTGAAAGTTTGTAATTATCTTTTTAACTGTAAACCACAATAAACTGCACTTCCCATTAAAAACTTCCATTGACGTTGCACAAGTCGCACAGAGATGCATGAATGAAGGGTATCATTAACCTGCTGACATCCAGGTGATATGACAGAGACAAAATAATCAGACAATCGTGTGTATCGGTGTCCAGCTGTCAGTTCCCTAGAATGGAAAGTATTTAATTACAAGCACTCTCGCTACTGTAATTGAGTGGCTTTTTAAGTACTTTATTTGTAGTACATTACAGAATCACTAATTCCACTTTCATTAAGTCCAAGAACTGTAATTTTCTAATGAAGCTCCTTTTGGAAAGGCAGGAATTACATAGCCTACAGTTACGCTGTTGGATCAGCAGGATATTGCATTTAAATGAGTTGTAAATCATCTTTTATGGAAAGGAAATCTCTAACAAACCCTTGATTATAAAGAGAAGATGGTTAACACTCTTTTGAAAGCGAGATTCATTTTAATTCATTGTGGAAAAGACAATACAGGAGTAGTTCATTCTTCTCACTGAAAAGTGCATTTTTTATAGATGTATCCTGACCTAGATGTGTATAGGGGTGTTCGAACTCAAAGGTAGAATCGACGAT